TTATCTACGGAAGCCTACGAGGGCCGGGCTTCTGCATATCCCTAGTGTCGCCTGCAATTGTGTGCGAACGAGCTTGGCCTGTGAGGAAGTTTGGAGCTGTTCAGCTATATCTCGCTTCATTTTCATGCTGTGCACTCCCAACAACACTTTTCAGCTGCGTAGAAGCCTATATGCTTCCTTCTCCACCCCATTGTGGCAGTCACAACCACCACAAAGACTCCTAGTGCAGTCGGTCCTTCACGTCTCAGTCCGTGCTATACCGGTACAATGGTACCGCGAGTGCCGGTACCGTACGCTACAGTACTAGTATCTCGTTCAGCTTCTGCTAACAGGCTCTCACTTTCTCGAGATCGTCTGCTTCATTCAGAGCTGCTGGCTTGGACTTGTGATTGAATCATTTCTAACAACTGTCACTCTTTGTTTCGAACCTTCACCGACGAGTGAGTAACAGTGGTCATTTCAATTCAATTTTGAAGTCGAATCTTGGAGAAACTGCCAACCATGACGACCTCAGTTTGATTTCAAAACTATTAAAACTATCGCTGTAATGGTGAATCGAGCTTCGAGTTTCAAACGCTGGTCGCGTAAACGATCGTTGCCTCGAGTAAGCATGATCAACAGGTTACACGCCAAGTAGCAGATAAAATCCTCGTACCGTTCCTTTTAAAAGTGCTCGCATTCCATTTGCTTGTTCGGAGTTTGTCTTGAACCTTGAGGGGATCTGGGGTCTTCTCTCCCGAGCTGTCCTCTGTATCTTGCTTAGCTGAACAAGTGGCATGCATGCACCTACTGCATTTCTTTGCTTTGTGTTTGCCCTCAGCTCAGGTGCAAGTCTTTCTTTCCTTCCATGCTTGCTTTCTCCTTGGTCGTCGTTCGTTGTACGTGTGCCTTGCTTGTCGTCAGCGGATGGCATACCGTAGTAGTTTGCCTATAGTATTGCTGGGCTTCTCCAACTTGTGCGTGTACGAACTTGGCTGAATCCTTGTCTTACACGTTTCCTTGCACAGCATTTGGAAAACTGGACCAATAGTAGTGAATGGACTGTCTGTCCGTCGAATGCTTGGATCTTCGTCAAGGCATTGCTGCAGAAACAGTTATTCTTCATCAATTGTTGAGTACTATCTGATCATGAGTCCATGTACTCTTGAAGCCGAGGAACCAGCTCAATAGCTACCGGTAGCCAGTAGTAATAGTTAGTATGATGTTGCATCTTTGCATTGTGGAACGGATCCAGCTCGTGCCTTCGAGCGAACCAACCTGGCCTGACATTTGTCAAGGGAAGCAATAACATTCAATTGCCCATGGCAAGCAATGCTGTGGTTTGAATCTGAAGCGTGGAATATTGGCGGAACCCATCACAATCCGTGCTGCGGGTCGGTGCTTGGTCAATGTTTTGATCCATTCATTCTGTTGGCGTCGCTTGCTTTCCTTAGTTGGAATCGTTTCGATAACCCCCGCCCCCAGAACACCTGGGGCCACATTGACCACAGCCATGTCAGCATGTCAGGCATTCGGTCTGATTCCTCGTCGTACTCGCATCTTGCATCAAATGATGGAGCCCGATCCTATAGCTGGAGACAGGAACGAACGAGATAGAGGTGGGGACGCAACTTCAAAACCCTGGAGACGCCTTCGACACCACCTCTAGCTAGCTCAGGACCCTGGTGACCCCTTCCACACGACCTCTAGCCAGCTGAATGGATCCATGAATGAATCACCGCGCAAGTCAACCGTCAACACAAGGGTTGTTGGGGCTCTATGACTTCTTAGGAGCCGCAGGAGTTAGTTGCATCAATCCAGAATCCAGAATCTTGTGGTTACTATGGCGGAGGTGGAGTGCGCGACACCATGATGTCTCTCTTGGTTGCTTCTTCACCTTCGAACAGACTGAACTGTTCCAGTTGATAGCTTCGCCATTGCGTATGCAATGGCGTTTGTACTGCTAGCTAGCCATAGCCGTGGGATACAGTGGCCATTGCCATTTTGGCCAAGTTCTTAGTTTGAAACCAAAGCAAACAGGCAGGGGACGTGAACCCCGGTAAGTGTTCACGATACGAGGGAGGACACGAAGTTAGGCCAGCGGTTGCAAAGCCCCAATCTCGATTAATTTAACCCGTCAATGAGTCGTTGGAGTAGTTTCTCTTGACGAGGACTGACAGTGGTGACCACAGTGGGCTCCCCGGGAAATGCCCTTCTTGATCTGTGGGCATAGCAGTAGTAGGTACCGGTACGGTACCATAGCAGGCAACTGTAGGCAATCCATGAAGGAGAAAAGCAACATGCAAGAAGCACAATTATTTGCAGGCACCCACCATCCATCTCTCCAACCCCTTCCAATCAGAAGAAGCAAGCCATGGCACATGGCATCTCATCCAGCCAGCCAGCCTTGAAGCAGGTTGCTTCGATCCTTCTCACTGGATAGCTATGGTATGTAGTACATCTAGCATTTAGAATACATGTAGAGAAGAGCTAAGTGAAGCTAAGTAGTAAAAATGGTACATGTAATTGTTTTGCTTGCAATGGGATCATGGAGTCTATACTGTTGTTACAAATCTAATAGGTAAGTTGTAATGGAAATGAAGGGTATCTTGGCTTAGCTGGAGCTTCTTGCTCTGACTTTGAGCAGCAGACCCTTGGGTGAGGATTGGAGCGGTCTAGCGGGCAATCTGGGTGGGCCATTCTTTGACTTGTTCATTTCTTTTTCTGAGCGCTGACGGGGAATAAATCTTGGTGGAAGATCATTGCGACAAGATCGATTTCGCTTGGGCAGTTTGGGCGAGTCCAAGCAGCGGCGGCGACTGTCATCTGCACTAGCACGAGAGCTGCTAGATTCGTCAGCTTGCCAGCGGTTTTCACTGTTGTCTTCCCAAACACAAGGGATGATAATAACTTGAGGAACAGCCATGGTAGTAGTAGTTGGTGCGGGGACTGTAGCTTTGGAGCTTTGGTGCTTTGGTGCTTTCGTGCAGTTTGAAATTGTGAGCCAAATCGAGCCGTGGGTTTTCTTGCTCTGGGCTTTGGTCGACTGCCACCGGGACATCATCGAAATGGCTTGAAGGGTTGACTGGG